ATCTTCTGGACCACAGTCGCACTCTACGTGCTCATCGTTTTCTTGATTATCGCGATCCAAGTGATCAACTGTTGTTGCTGTTGCTGCAGTGGTGGTGGTGGTGGCGGCGAAAGTGGGGTACGTTAGCATTATTCACACGTTTCGTTTAAAATCACATCGGCTTATATTTTTTCAAGTCAAATTTTTGATGGCACTCGTAGAACTCCCTTGAGTGAGGTCCTTAGTGATAAGACGACACCTGATCGAAAGCGTTCTAATCAAACTTCCACATGCATCCTCATTCTATCCTGTCAAACTAGACTTAGTCATGGAAGCCGAAAACAAGATCTACTAGTTCTAGTGTCACCAGGTTGCAAGTAACTGTTCGCAAGTAACACGCTGTGGCTCCATTTCAGGTGTATGGAAAGATGAATCCCTTGCAAGTGGCTGCGTTGCGTAGCGAATTTGGACACAAGCAACTGGTGTGTCGCATCGCGTACATCGCAGTCCTGGTAATCGCGATGGCCTTCCTGGCAGCCTGCATCATCCTCATATTCGTCTACTTCAGCAGCATTGGTGTGCTCATGAGCTACCTGGAAGCCCACAACGGGAGCGTAGAGGAGGCGAGTTCCATCCAAAACGGACTGCAAGCACTCACAACACACGTGACGCAGTTCTTGAATACAGGCATTGAGTCTGGACGCACGCTGACCAACACTTCTCTTAGCGGCTTCATGAATAAAACGAGCGTAAGGCAATCTCTAACCTAGAAGTTTGCGAATATGTTATTTAGGGCCCCTAGTGTCGCTAGAGTGACATATGTTGCTTGGAGATCTTAAAGAAGCTTAATGGCTTTAGCTAGTAATGGCTGGCACAAATCATCTTGCCCTTCACATCTCATAAATACTTAAATGAATGTGTTGCATGTATTTTAGGCACAAATTTCATCCGGACTGTCTGGAACGATTGATGATCTGCTGGCTTACTTGAATGTGTCGAATGTTTTGACAAAAGGAAACGACACTGTTGAAGCAATGAGAAATTTCTCCGGCTACGTGTCGAGTGCAAGTGAATCGATAGACACCTTGAAGAGTAATGTTTCTGCTCTTTGTGACAAGATGAAAAAAGCCCGTGAAGAATTTAAGACCGCATTTGAGAATGTCACAAAATGTGACAACTGGACGGAATGCCAAAATTTAAAAGTAAGTCACCATCTTAATCATTTAACGACTAAGAAAACAAGACGATGGAGACAGACATTAGCCCTGTTCTGAACCTGTGGATGAGAACATGTAAAATTATGCAGTCGTAACTAGTAAAAACGTTGATTTAAGGACCATATAACACTGTCTTTTTTTGTAGACATTAACAACAAATCTACACTGTCCAATTGATCTCAATGCGATCAACACAACAGTAACAAAGAACTTTACCACTCAACTTGAACACACGGTAGCTGAATTAGAGCAGAGGTTGGCAAATGTCACTAATGCAATCAAGGATATTAACTCGTCTACAGGCCAAATGGTTGATTCAGTCGAGAAAAATCTTGACCTCAAAACGGTGCTCGATTCGATCAACAAGTTTTGGAATGACACCAGTGCACAGGTTGGTGGTGTGACCAAGAATCTGGAAGACCTCTCCACCTCTGTGGACAATGGACTTGCACAATACTCGGGATATATTCGCATCGCGTTCAACGTAATCGGAGGA